AAGGAAGACTTGGAGCCTTCCAGGCTCCTGAAATCATGCCTTTTGGGACTCCTCCTTCAAAAGCTTCAGTCCTGCACCCCTGCATCTTTGTTCAGCTCCTCCATTAGTGACAAGCCTCACATTTGTATAACCTTTTTCCCTTCCAATGCACTTCCCCATCCATTATCTCAGGATCATCACAAGAAACACCCATGGGAGGGGAGCAGGGCAAACATTATTCTCCCCATTACATAGCTAGAGAAATCAAGGCCTAGAGAAGGAAAAATGATGTAATCAAGATTATAGATTCAAGGGCTAACAGAAACAGAACCCAGATGTGCTGGTGCCCTGTCCAGTGCCCCACCTTGTCAGAGGCCACAGTTCAGATAAAGAGAGTATTGTGAAAGGAATTGGGGCCTCCCCTTCAATACTCTATCCTTAAGAAATGCTGGCTGATTAACTGACTGACCTAGCCCCTAGATCAGTATCAGCATCAGTGCTGAGAAGAATGCTGAATTTGGAGTCAAGAATTATGGACGCAGAATCCCAGGGTCTGATGGGAGCTCGGTGAGCATCCAGTCAAACCTGTACCTGAAAAGGAATTCTCTCTACCACAAACCACAGCCTCAGGTGACTGAGGAGCTACAGAGAAACTGGCTGTCACCTGAGGAAGACCACTTCACTCTTCATCAGCCCCCATCATTAGGAAGAATTTAGTTGTTTGTTTCTTGCATAATGGCTTTTATTTTTTTCTTATATAAAAAATATTTTCCCTCTGAAGATTTTGTATTTGGAAGTTGAAGATACTACACTTGAAGGATATTTGGGGGACAAAGAGTCAGAGGAAATCCACTAGCCATTGTCTGATCCCTACCCTGCCCCAAAAAAGGACATAGCTTGACTAAGTCCAGATACCAATTGAAATTACTCAACATCTTAGCCAGAAAAAAGGAAGCTTGAGTTAGAGCACCTTAGTTCAAATCCTTCCTACCCCTGTGTGACCTTGGACAAGTCACATCCTCTCCAGATCTCAGCTGACTCCTTTGTTAAAAATGAATAGGCTAACCTATACAATTCTCTAAGTTTTGATCTTTCTTTGTCTCACTTGTGAAGGGCAGTATTCCTGACACACTTTCCTGATCTGGGTTCTCCCCAGGTGGTGGAGTAAGCCTAGGTAGAAAAATGCCCTCCTCCCCAAACTTAAAAACTCATAAATTATAACCCTGTCTCAGGCCATTCCCTCAATAGGGGCCTCTCCAACAAACTGCTACCCCTTCTAAGAAAATTGTAGCTAGTGAGGGGGAAGGGGGAGGAAGGGAGGAAGCAGTGTGGATGGAGTCAGAGCTGCCAGAGGAAGGCAAGGGCTGAAGGCCAGGAAATGGGGAATGAGATGGCCATACTTCTGATGCCAAAGGGGATGCTGGGCCCATGGACTTCTCCACCACACCCCTGTTCATTGCCAACTCCTGCCCTGGGAGCCATATGCCCCATAGGTTTCCTGAAGGCAGCTGGAGGATGGGGCAAGTGGCAAGGTCTGGATAATGGGGACCCCTCCCCAAGTCCTGGAAAGTGAGCTGGGAACAGATGGCACCCAGCCTGGGGTTCAAGCAGGGGGGCCTCAGAGGATCTCCCAATCCTAAGTCATCACTTTTTCATCATCCTGAGAAAGCTCTGGAGTCTGAAGATGGAGCCAGTAGTCCACTAACACCATGAGAACTGAAGTCAGCCTCTTAATGCAGCGGCACAGATAGATGAAAGGGAACAAGTCCGGGGACGTTCAAAACTGTCTGAGAGGATTTCCTCTGACTGCCTAACATGGACTTTCCGTACCCCTCCCCCCATCCTGACCCTATAAGGCAGGAAAGCTAAGTGCCAGGGAATGGGGAAGGATGGGGCAGTACCTCCTACTGAGTGCCACTAAGTTTGGGGAATGTGGAGAGAAGTGTGGGTAGGTGCTGAGTGTCAGGCCTGGGTGGAAAGGGGTAAGTGCTGGGAATAGGGGAGGTGGACAATAATGCAGAGAATGGGGGGGGGGGCGCCTAAGTGCTAATGGCAGGGGGGAGATGAAGTGCAGAGCCCATAGATATGGCCCCACAACACAACTGTTTTCTCACTCCATCCATGTCCTAGCACTTTATAACTCCAGTCTTGGAGGAGGGGAGGAGTGGAATGAGCTCAGGACACTGTTTGATCCAGGCCCTCCCCACCACCATGACTACCACCACCTCAAAGAGCAAGAGGAGTATAGACAAAAATGTAGACACTGAGGGCACGAGGCATCGGGTTCTGACAGAGTCTTGAGCAGGACAGAGAGAGGTGGAAACCTCCCCACCAACCTTTAAGTTCAGCCTGACCTCTTTGCACAATGGGGCTGTGTCAACTGAGCCCCAAAGATTTGTGTGTTGGGACTCTACATACACACACACACACACACACACACACACACGGGATTTCCTGGGGAAGCCTTGCTCCCTGATGAGAGGTCTGAGATCACAAGCTGCCTCTCTTCCCCTGCAGTATCTGCTCCCCCTGTTTCCCATACTTTCAGTAAGTCAAATACTGTCTCCCACCCACCCACCCACCCCCTTCCTTGCCGCAGTCCCGGCTGTAACGACCATAAACTCGAAGATGTACAGCTGTAAGGGACCTTAGATTTCATCTAATATTCTCTCTTTTATAGATGGGGAAACTGAGGCATCAAGGGAGTTAGTGATTTGCCCAAGGTCACGCAGGTATTAAGCTGGAATTGGACCCCAGGTCCACTCCGGCTCCAGTGCTCTTCCCACTGTACTTCCCTACCTCTTTCCTCCCCCTTCCCAATACTGGCAAAGAAGGTACCTTAAGATACAAAGTAGGCATCAGCTTCTTCATAATAGGACCTGTACACTTTGTTGTATCCCCAACGTCTAGTTCAATGCTTAGCACATAATAAGCTTTTAGTAGATACTGGTTGAACGAATGAACAGTTAGCTTGCTCTGACCTAGAAACTAGACTGGTATTTCCTCCAGGTTCATTCAGCCACTCTCCAGGCTTCCCCCAACCCAGGCAAGTCCAGTATTAATGCGCTGTGTGACCTTGAGCAAGTCATCTTCCTTCCCAGTGCCGCAGTTCGGGGATTTTTTTTTCCTCAACCACCTCGGGCTAAGAATACCTGCCCCAGATACTGCCTGCCTAGCAGCAGGGATTCCGCATTCCTTTGCGAATCTGGCCAACATCAAAGAGCTCTGACTGAAACCTTGCCCCAGGCTGCACCACAGTCCACAGCAGGGATGAGAGATTTCTGGGCCAGACCCTGGACCCAGGTAGGGGGAGGCATTTGTGCATTGCAGGGGAAAGAGAAGAAAAGACATTTGGGAGTGAACGGCACCCCCTCCCATTTCAAAACCACAAGCCCGGGACTCCACCTCTCAGTCAGTGTCCCCATTGTAGGAAGGACAAAACTAAGGCGAGACTCAAAAATCCGCCAGGGGCCTCCAAGTTCACAAAGGAGATTTTCTAGGGCTCAAGCACTCCGCTACTCCTCCTTCTCCAACATGCGCCCCAAAAACCACCCTGCTCTTTCAAATGTCAGAGCCTTATGTTGCCATCTTCCCTTACCCGCACCGTTCCCGGGCACTGCTGTAACAGGAAGAAGAAAAAAAAAGCCCTGGCATCCCAGGATCCTATCTGCCACCTGCCGGGAGCCATGTCCTCCCCAGGCCAGCCACCAATTGGCCCCCTACCCCGGGAAAGCCTGCCGGAGGGAGACTCAACCAGCAAGATAGGTCTAGAGACTCAACGAGAGAGCCTGAGCCGTCAAAATCCCTTTTGCTCCCTTGCCCAGTGAGCGGTTCACACCGGGGAGGGGGGCCAATGGCCGCTGTCCCGCCCACCCCTACTGGGCTGGGGCTGCACCCCGAGGAGCAGCCCGGCAGTCGGGGTGCAGCTGAAGGACAGAGTGGAGACTGGCCCCCTTTCCTCAGACAGCCACACACACTCCCGGGAGCCCTGAGCCAGGCACCCCCGCTCACGTGGCGGGGCGAGGGGGCGAGAAGGGTCTTTGTTCCCGCAACAAGAGAAGGAACACCAGCAGGCAGGCGGGGTCTGCAATAGGCGCAGCTGAGAGAGGCGGCAGCAGCGCGTGCCACGCTCTCTGCAGCCCCAGAATGGAAAGAGAGCTTGGGGCCGCCAGCCCCCGGGCCAGGCTCGGCCGTCTGGCAGCCTACTGGAGGCAGGCCCGGCGGCGCCCCTGCACGACGCTCCCCACCACCCTACGGTAGCTACGGACAGCGGAACACAGCGGGAGGGGTCCGGGCAGGTCACCCTCAGGCTAAGGAGAAAGCGTCTCAGGAAAGGGCTCTTGGTGCAGCAGGAGTGTGAGCTGAAGTTGGGGCGCTTGGAGATCCTCTCGTCTCCAGTCTTTTCTCCACCTCCCTCCCCCCTCAAGCACTGCAGATTTGGGCTGCGGGCAGGTCTCGGTGTAGACTGAGCTCCAGTCTCAGACAGCCAGGGATCGCCGCCGCATTAACGCGGCTCTGGCATGCAACACACACACACACACACACACACACACACACACACATATATATATACACACACTCCCACAAATTCAGACACACACTGACAGGCTCTCACTCTGACACAGGAACACACCGACAAATATGGACCACACGCCGGCATTCTCATATATGGACCCACACCCCGACACAGACTTACACTCACATCCAGTGATAGATACATGGACACAATCAGCTCGCAGATACACACACCGACACAGACTTACATGTCCAGTGGGCACACACAGACCTAGACCCCGACACACATGGCTGCACTCGGACACACTCATCCAGGCATACTCGCGCTTGCCAGGAGCTGCTGCTGCTTGCTGCCACGCGCGCGCGCGTACACACACACACACACACACACACACTCGTGGACATACACTGACCCCGGCTGACAAACTGACCCTGTCAGCGCCAGCAGCGAGCGGGAGCCAGCGCTGGCTCCTGGCGCTCTCCTGCCGCCTTCAGCGCGCACCCACCTTTCCAGGCTGCGGTGATGCGAGGGCTCGTCTTGGGGTGGCTGCCGGCTGCTGCGGCGGGGACGGCGGCGGCGGCTGCGGGAGTAGCAGCTCGGAGCAGCAGCAGAAGCAGAGGGAGGTCCAGGAGGCGGCTAGCCCTCGAGGCGCGAGGAGCAGCGAGCCGCGGCGAGAGATCGGGGCGCCGAGTCGGGAGTTGCTGCAGCGGTGTCATGGCCCGGGTGGGCTGAGGCTGCGGGGCCGGCCGCCTGGAGAGCTGAAGCCACCCGAGCTAGCGAGTGACTGGAGGCAGCGCCGTGCGAGTCGAGCCACACCAACCCCAAGCCTGGGGGCGGAGTTAGGGACGGGCAAGCACTAGCACGGAGCACGCCCTCCCCCCTCCCCCCCAACCCGGCTTCTTGTCCCTGGGGGCAGTAGGGGCGGAGCAAGCCAGACCTGCGGGGTCCGGGGCCAGCAGGTAACTGGAGTGGCGGGAGGGGCTAGGGACTACCTGGACGCCTAGGTCCGGTGCGCACCCCAAAGCTCCGCTTCCCTCCCCCTGCCTTATTAGAAGAATTAATCACACACACGCGCGCGCCCTTCAAGTCTGGGAGATGCCCAAATGCTAGAGCTTAACAGGAGAGCGAATCACCCCGGGGAAGCCTCCTGGCTGAGAAAGCACCTTTTCGAAGTCCTTTTAGTCAACACTGTTCAGGCCGGGTTAGCTGAGACTTGGAGACTCTAAAACAATGAGGCAGTAAGGTGGAGCGGATACCGCACTGGGCTTGGATCCGGATTTGAAAACCACCTCCTCAATAAAATGGAAATACCGATACCTGTAAAGCGTCTCTCACAAGGTTCTTGAGAAATAACGTGTATAAAGTGCTTTTCAAACTTTAAAGCGTTACATAAAAGACAGCTATTATTACACTAGCTAGGTGGCAGCAGTGGATAGAGCCAGGAAAACGTGAGTTCCAATCTCGCTTCAGATACTTAATTAGCCGTATAATCCTAGGCAAGTCACCGAGTTTGTTTGCCTCAATTTCCTCTTCTATAAAATAGAGATATTGATCATGACGACGACGACCACGACGATGATGATAGATCCTACCTTCCAGGACAGTTGTGAGGACCAGATGACAAAATATCTGTAAAGGCTTTGCAAACCTTAAAGAATTATATAAAGATAACTACTATTATCAAGACCACCCCACACACACTAAGCAATCTTGTCTCCCCCCCTGCTCAAGTCTGCATTCACGAAACCAATCCTGAATTCTGGGTGTCAAGGACTGTTGACTGCCAGTTTAGGGCTCTTAGGGTTGGCATCAAGATAAAATGTATATAGCCATGCCGATCAGTACCGTCTCTGCATGTATAGTCCTAGAGAGTTTCTTAGAGCTTTAAAAGGTTAACTGACTTGTCCTGGCAGAGGTGGGCTTTGTACCTGTCTTCCTGGCTTTGAAGTTGGCACTCTCCACACAGCCTTGGCCCAAGGGGTGGTGGTGGCTGTTCAGTTATTTCCAACTCTTCATGATCCCATTTGGGGTTTTCTTGGCAAAAATACTACAGTGGTTTGCCATTTCCTTCTCCAGTTCATTTTACAGATGAGGAAACTGAGGCAAAAAAGGTTAAGTGACTTGTTCAGGGTCACACAGCTAGTTAAGTGTCTGAGAGTGGATTTGAACTCAGGTCATCCTGACTTCCAGGCCTAGTGCTTTATCCACTGCGACACCTAGTGGCCTTCTTACAGCTCCTTGCTACCTTCAAACCTCCTGATCTCTGGTCCCTTCACTTGTATCCTCCTGCCCCTTCCTCTCCTCGATGCTCCATGAAAGAGGCTGCCTGGTTAGGCCTGGAAAACTAGGTGGGCATTTCCTCTGCTCATTCAGGCTTTCTCTAGCATTTTGATTCCCCTAAAATCCCTATCCATATATATTTTTCTTTGTACCTACAATTGCTGCCGTCCAATAAAATGTAAATTCCTTGAGAGCAGAAGTGGTCACTTTTGTTGTCTTTGTATTCCCAGACTTGGCACATAGTAAGATTTAATAGACCTTTTTGAATGAAGTAATTTAATTCAACAAATATTAAGCTCTTGCTGTATACGGTGAACCTGCTTGGTGATGAGATCTAAAGTGTAGATTAAAAAAAAAGATCCTTATTCTCTCAGAGTTTATAGTCTAGCAGGGAAGAAAATCTCCTTGTTGGTAGATAAGAATAGATGGGGAAGATACAGTATGGTGTGTAAGGGGGGAAAGTACTGGATGTGGGTTTGAATTTAGGGTTCAACATATAACTAACTATGTGACCTCAGACAAATCACTTCCCCTTTCTGATCCTCAGTTTCCACAACTGTAAAATGGAGCACCGGTGTGGTTTAGTGGATAGAGAGATAGCCACACAATCAGGAAGTCCTGGATCCAAGTTCTACCCTGAGACATACTGACTGTGTGACCAAAGTGAAGTCACTTAACCTCTCAGTGCCCCTAGACAACCTCTGAGCCTCTTAACTGCAGAGAATGTCTAACCTGCTCCCATAGGGGGAGATCCTCACTGGAAGTCCCCTACAATGATGAAATTGTATCTGATCTAAAAACAGAGAGATAATGATTCTTCCCCTATGAGCCTCACAGGTTGGTTGCAGGTAAATGTGAGGTATTTTGAGCTTGCCCCTGATAGCGTCAGATGTAACTAGTTGCCTGGTTCTGCCACCTTATAGTCCTGGGACCCTGAAACATCACCTAACCCCTCTGATCTGCAACTCCACAATGCAGATGATAGTCATCGAATCATAGGTTTCAATCTAGAACCTTAAAGGTCATGGAATCCAACTCTCTCCTTTTACAGATGAGGAAACTAAGTCTAAAGGAGGTTATGGGATTTGTCCAGGTCACATAGCTAGCACCCTGAAGTAGTAGGATCTGAACTCAGGTCTTTCTGACTATAAACACAGACACAAACAAAATTACAGGATTTAGGATTAGTTTAGGATTAAGATTGGCTAAGGGTTAAGATTAGTGTTATTTCATCCATTGTGCCACCTAGTGGCCAGTCCCTATCCTGCCTCTCTCCCCCGGGGGCCGTGAAGATCCCCTTGATAAATACTATGATGCCATCAACACTGCCTGCCCTGTTCTGTCTCTTTCCAAGTCCTCCAGTAAATGCACCACTTGGGTGAAGAGAAAGGGATGGGATCCACCCGATACATTAGAGGCCTTCCCTTCCTTGCTTTCTTCTTGACAGCCCAGGAATCCCACACAAGCAGTCCAAAGTTTTACTGGTCTCCCTGTGCTTTGCCTCAGTCAGACAAAATTCAGAGGAGTTAGCTGTTCAGTTCTGGGTACCACCATTTACAAAGGATATTGATAAATTAGATGAAGGCAATCAGCATAATGAAAGGTGTGAAACCATGTCATGTGGAGGTTGGCTAAAGAAACCCAGGGATGTCTAGCTTCTAAGGGACATGATAAATGTCTCCAAGAATGTGAAGGACTCTCAAGGGAGAAGAGATGAGCTATGTTTGGCCCCAGAAGGTAGAAAGAAGCTGGAGCAAAGGGTGGAAATTTCAAAGGGGCCTCAATTAATCTCGATATCAGGTGAACCATCCTAGTTGTCCAAAAGTGGAATTCAATGCCTCAGGATGAGGTGGGCTTCTCCCTGCCTCCACTGGAGGTCTTCAAGCAAAGCCTGGGTGACCATTTATCAGAGGGCTCTTTTCCAGGAGAAAAGAATGGTGGTTGAGGTTGCCTCCAATTCTGAAATTCTATGATTTGGTGAAAAGAAAAGCTGCCTCACACAGGTCAAGTCATTATCAAAGCAAGAGGGTGGTTTTTGGTTTTTGGTTTTTGTTATTTTTGAAGAATAGCCATGTTTGCCAGTCCTATTGTTCTGGAATTCTTGCCCAATCACTTCCCCCATAACCATATGGAGTGAGGTCAAAAAGGCAAGGCTAGGAGGGAAATCATGAAAAAGCTAAAGAGCATTGGCAGGGCGGAGCTTTGGGGCATGGCTTCCCCAAAAGATCAAGATCAGAGAAGGGAACCAGCCCACGTATGCCCTGGTTCCCAACCAAGCGTCTCCATGGTTAGATTTTAGTTAACTTTAGGTCAGAAGGAAGTCTGGTTCTTGGAGATGCCTAACCTAGGAGGCAGCATGCGGTAGTGTCTAGAGAGCTGGCCTCGAAACTGGGAAGACGTGGGTTTGAATCCTGGCTGTGTGACCCTGGGAGAGTGTCAAAAGCAAAAATCCATTAGGAGCCTACTGCAAGTCACGTAACTCCTCAGTGACCCAGGCAACTCACTTAAACTATAAATTACAGAGAAGATTCCAGATTTTCTTGGTCAAGACAACAAGCATTTATTTAGCACTTGCTATATGCAAGGCACTTCTCTAAACTAGGGATGCAAAAATAGTCCCTGCCCTCAAGGAGTTTACAGTCTAATGGAGGAAACAACATGCAAATAACTATGATATAAATAGACAAGATCTACACATATTAACTTGGAAGTGATCCCAGTGGGAAGGCACTAACATTGGTGATGAAGCTATTCAGTGGGAGTTCCCTACATGTCAGTCAATGAGCACTTTTTAAATAGATGTGATCAAAAAAGAAGGAGAAGAAGAGGGGGGGTGTTGATGAAGAGATGGAGGATAGTTTTCGGGAAACTGGAGAAGAGTAGAGGGGCCAAGAAAATCTGTGAGGAGGCACTGAAATAGTCCAGACAGCTCTCTAAAACCCTGGATTAAGGAGGTAGCAATGGGAACAGAGAAGAGGGAATAAATGTGGATGATGTTACAGAGATAAAAGTGACAGGTCTTGCCTTTGATTGAAGAGGAGAGGAGAAGGGGAAAATCCAAGATAAAAAGTAAACACCAAGGTTTTAGCCAGGAGAGATACAGTGAACAATGGTACCATTGTCAGAAATTTGAAATTAGAAGGGAGAGTACTTTGAAGAGAAGGAGGAGGGAGATAAGCTTTTTTGTTTTTTGTTTTAGATCTATTGAGATTGAGATGCCATTGGGAAAGCCAACAATAGTCTTATCTCAGGACTGGCAGGATAAAGATTGGCAAGTAAGCCACACTGAGACGGTAGAAGAAGATAGTGGAAATAAGGTTGCTGAGGAAGAGAGGGGAGAGAGAAGAGAGTAGGGCCCAGTACAGAACCCTGGGGGACATCTACCTTAATGAGTGAGGAGGCAATGAAGAATACAGAGAAGGAACAGTTAAATATAGAAGGTCCAGGAAAGGAAATGTCTCCGAAGACATTTCTGATTATCTGCAGACAATGCCTGAAGATAAAGAGGAACAGAAAATCATCC